GTTGTCCAAAGTTGGTCGCCTACCTATCCTCTCCAACACGTTAAGAATCCTCCTTCTCTGTATTGGTTCGGGCAACACCATAAAAGCCTTCGCTTCAACTTCATTCTTGTAATATTCATTGAAAACCAGTTCAAGATTATCTATGGAAATATCTTGAAAACCAAAAACCTTATCAGCAAGAACCTCAACCCAAGTTCGCTCCTTCAAACCAACAATGGCAGTAGCTACCTTTCCCATTTCCTCCACAAGTTTCTCACCAATAATTATATGGGAGTCCTCCCTTTTCTTCTTCTTTACTGGACGAGACGATTTACCACTTACAGTTCCTGGCTTGATAAAAATGCTCGAAGGCTCCATTCCGTTGAATTGTGATACACGAACTCCATCCATACCAGGACTATCTACAAGATCATCTTCGTCGATATTGATAGTTGGAATCTCTTTATCAATGTCAGGGTCATAACTTGTCTCTCTGAATTCTCCAGTAGCATGATCCTCCCCACAAATAATGCGAAGCTCTTCATATCTTGGAATTGGACAATTCAAATAAGGCTTGTACTTTGGATGTCTCTGTTTATAAGAAAAATAAAGATTTTTAATGTGATATATCAAAAGGAAAAGTTTGAATTAGCTTGGTAGTCAAAATTAAGAAATTAATATACCTCGATAAGCTCAGCATATGTCATGGTATCAAGTGTAATCATCTTACTCTCTTCATCCCATCCGGCTCCACTAAGTTTTTTTGCTTCACAAATAAGTTTCCACTTATCTTTGAGGGTTCGTAAGTGGTTCTCGACATTGTATGTAGTATAATTTTCACCAAAGATGGAATTCACATGCTCAACAGCCTTTTTGAAAGCAGGGGCTTTAAATGTCTTATACACTTTATAACCATTATTAGCAAGTTCCACCAAGCAAGAAATTAATGCCTCAATGTGTGGAGGTTTCCATTTTTTGTTACTAGTTCCTTTTTTCCCTCCTGTCAGAGCTTCTTTGTTCCCGGTTGACTTTCGTTTCTTCCCTTCATTCGTATGCTTTCCATCTTTTGAAGGAGAATTAACCTCAAGACTTGAAATTGAATTTTGTGAAACATTATTCTGAGAGCTTTGTGATCTTATGATTTGTTGGCTCAAATTTATGGGTGGGAACCCAATAGGAGTTCCACCAACATTGGCATTCATGAATTGTTGATTAGTCGGATCTCCAAGACAACCAAAAACATAGGGGTTTCCGAGAGCGTGTACTCCTTGAGAACGAGAGTAATGTGGCGATTGTCGATCTAGTGTTGAAGTGACTTGAAAGTATCCAGTACTGTTACCCCCATATGCACACTTTTCTATATTCTCCATTGTCCTGTGATATTGTAAATATTCATAGAGACAACAAGAATAAAGTTTACATTATGACAATTAGAAAGTAAAACTATAAAATTAGACGTATATATATTGAAGCTCATCATAAAAAGAATATGTCAATAAAGAAATGTCAAAGATACACAAAATTTGGTTTCTGATAAGCTTGATAATAAGGAAAAAAACAAACTTGTTCACTTAATGATCTAGCATATATTGGTGGTATACAAATTAAAACAATACAAAAGACAAATACTGAATTAGCTCTAATCCAATTTCCAGCCTCATTACCCCACCCGCCCCGTTCGCTGTATATCGAGGACAATAATATCTCATCGCAGACATAGGAACTTTTGCTATTTTTCATGCCTCTTTTCGTTTAACGGGCAAGTAGCGTTGTGCTTGCTTGTTGGTGTCCCGTATTTGCTTAATTGAGGCGATGAGCTAACGGCTCCTGATTCTTCATGCAAATTCAGCCTTCGGGCAGCATCTCGGCTTTGCATCAAAACTAATCTTCTGTTATGTAACGATCATCTGGATCAAACTATCATTATATTGCATTAATGTAGAATGGCAACAATGGCAATAAGAAATCTTGTACTCTTGTGTTTGGAAATGGGCGAAATCAGGGGCACAGGTGTTAGTAAATTTTTGAAAGCGATTTTTCAATCCAAAATGCGCGCTCTCGGTGATCTTTTTTGATCGACGTGATGAGTGAGCGAGGATTTAAGAAGCTCTACGGATGGTTCAAAGGTGGTTCATCTACCGGTCGTTGGCTCTTTAAGATGGTAGCGTTACGAGCCCACATAAGGTGCAATGGAAAAACGCCGGGGCATAAGTGTTTAAGTATGCAGGGGATCGCCAAGAGATAGGGATATTGTATCTAGAACAATATGTTTAAACATGAAACGAATTATTGTCAATCGCAATTCGGTTTGCAAAATAATAAAAGTGAGTTTATATTTAGGTGTTCAGCAGTTTTTGTGGAGAACCCTGTGTTTATTAAAAAGCGGAGAATCGCCTTTGGAGGAGGGCAAGTAAGGAACTAATGGCAATGCCTGGCAAGAAGCTGTAAAGGTCATGTAGCGGAGCCCTTCCCATCCAGCGAGACATCCACAAATTAGGGGCTATTAGCGTGTACACAACTGAAGCAGGCATTTTGTGTGGGGGCATACTTGGCTACGCAATGGTGGAATCTGGAGGCACACTATATTATGGAGGGACGACGGCGGGGAGGCAATTGGTGTGGTTCGCATGCATCGATACGAATACAGTTCATGACAATTTAAACATACATAACCATAATAAATTGCATACACTCATTTTTGATATTAGCATGTTTAGCCTTAAGGAAGTATAGATAATAAGTGGACTTGAAAGCATAATACCACTTTGTACCCGTGCAAACCAATGGGTACGCGGAAGTTGATCTAACAAAGGAAGAATCATGGCATACGCGCCGTCAGCCCTGGGGGGCGATGGGGCCGCGCGTTGGCTTCTTGGTTATGGCTTCGGGTGTAAGTATTGCCGGACCGCAGGACGTCGGCATTGATAGTCGCGTACGTAATAGTTTCGGCCTGGAACGTGAGCGAAGTTTATCACCGAAAACAACCTTTTTTTTGGCATATCCCTACTGTATGTGTGTAGAAAACCATAGCAAGCTGCTCTTGCGGCGTGGAAAGCATATAATGGCTCGATCGGTTTAAGAAGTCTGAGGGACTTTGGTAACATGCGAACAAGGTAAAAAAATTGGACCTCGTATCGCATTCTTGCTAAGTAGTCATTGCAGTGCAAAGTTCCCCGTGCCGACCCATACTGAAGCAATGCGGTTAGATATAAGCATTTCTGCAATGAATCTCTCAACTCGGTTGGTGGTTCCCGTTGAGGAGTGTAACTTCCTGGTGTTGTGATTCTGCGAAGACGAACATGATAAGTAGGCACTAGCACTATAGCGCACCGCCAATCAGGGTAGGCAGGCAAAACAACTTAGTGTAGCATCTCTAGCTTTTGAAGGTTCCATATTCTACATAAAACAAATAAAACAATGTTATAGAATTAAAAAAATCAGCGCATATGGTTATTATAAAAATTCGCCAATTTATTTCTCACTTCAACAAAAATAAATATGATTCTCACATCCTAGTTACACTGGCATAGAACTCTTTGTAGTCAAAATAAATCATGCGGTATGATCACTATAGTCACAGTCCAAACTGACAAGAAAGTATGTATTTCATTTGCACATTGTTGAATTAGTAATTTAGGAACCCTACACAACCAGATAGGTTTATTGTCTCATATAGAACAACCATTATATACTGGAGAAATTCTGATCATACAAGATAATGCAGACGTAACAAGTTTTCGACATGAGAGATCAAAAACATGTTGGAATAAATGAATGACGCACATCGTTCATAATGATGTTCATGCCCTAAAATTTGTTGATAAAAAAATCATACTGTATGCACCTCACCCTATTCACTAAGTGGTTTCAAATAGACTGGCACTCAACAATACAATAAAAGAATCAGTTATTTAAAAATAGGGGTAAGAACAGAGTGACAAATTCTGGTCATCGAAGGTAGCGTCGCATTTTTCTACATTAGCTATCAAAAGCATGTTGGAGTCTAATGAATGACTCACACCTCTTATAATGATCTTCATGCCCTAAATTTTGTTTATAAAAATCATATTTTATAAACCTCACCCTATGCACTATATTAAGCCGTTGTTGTCTTTAACTAGTGGAATGCTTTTAAAAGGATGCAAATGAGAAAATGGATGCATGTTACAATGTCAGTATGTTGGAGTTTTTTATGTGAAAGCAACCGTAGCATTTGCTGATAAGTGTCAAATGACAAGAACAAACTAAAGCATCAAGGGACCTTCTATAAATTTTAGAGAATGTCTCCCTCAAAATTCCATATGCTTCCATTCAAAAAGTTCTAGCCTCAATAGCATAAGAATCTTCTCCATGCCCGTTAATAGATTCTTAGGTAGTATAATTTCAATGTCTGGATCTAAACATTATCACCCCATTATGTGCTAGCTTTGTAAGAGAGTTGAGTTAAACTTTATTTCAGGGGACCAAAAAGGAAGGAAAAAAAGAAATATGGGCACTGAAGCTGAAAATGTGAGCACAATAATAGCAGGAGAAGAAATTAAATTTGGGAAATCGATTCTGAAAATATAGGCAACCTATTTGATGACATTCAAGGGTACGGGCAACTATATGTAGTTTCTGAACAACAAAAGCTAGATGTATTTGCTCTGCTAATATATCCTATGAAGTTCTGAAATATGAGTTACTGGCACTCGGAACTGAGTGAATTCATTGTGTGTAAGATGCATTTTCTCGTCGTTAAGTGCAAGGTCGTCTCTTAAGTCAGACAAAAGAAGGAGCAACAGAGCAACATTAGCCAATTAGCAGAAAAAAAATCGTCGCGCGAAGTTCAGCGAAATGGCTGATTAGCCGGGGAACCGAAG